GAGAGAGAGAGAGAGAGAGAGAGAGAGAGAGAGAGAGAGAGAGTACCTTTTGGAATTTTCGGCAACCCACTGCTGTGTATGTCGAGCACATGCAACGACAAGTGGATGCGATCAAGAGTTGATAACAACACAAAAAACCCAGAAGAAGAGACAGAGGGAAAGGAGAAGATGAAGTCAACGGGAGGAAGAAAAAGAAACCAGTAGACAGAGCGACCATGTCCCGAACACGACTTGTTTATAAAATTAGTCTTGAAGCACTTAACATGGCGTATGACCCAACAAGTCAATGGAACATGTGTGAAAGCATCTGCCCAACAAGTCTATGGAACCAGGCGAATATTGTTTTTCTTTTCTTTTCCCTCAAAATTGAGATTTGGATCCAGAATTCAACTTCCAGGGCCGAGGTCCCACTAGCAACGGGATATGATAGAAACTAGTTTGTGCGGCAGTTGAGTAACCCAAATCTTGTCTTGCAGGACTCGTGATCCCATGGTCATTATTTTACATGTATTACCCAAAAAAGTAAGGAGATCTTGGCTCCCCTCCTCTCCTTAACACTGGGCATACTCGTGCATAGAAAGCTTCCTGCCAGAATCTTTTCAATAATTGGCTGGGGCCCTTGGGGGTGTTGCCAAACCCAAAAGAAGGTGGGGGCGGCCATAGGCCCACTGGATAGAAGATTTTCAGTATTTTACTTGTTGTTGTGCAATTATTTATCTCATTGGGGGGAGCCCTCCTTCAATCACCAAGTATATGGAGTATGGAGGGTGTGAAGATCACGGCTCGAGTTTATTCCAGAAAATGTGGCAGTTACTTTTTGCACTTTTGTTGCAACCACCACCACCAGATCATTTGTGATCTGAGCGCTGCGAAGCACTCTGCCGTGATTTCCGGTGGGAGGTCTCTGTTTCTTTTTTTATCTTTTGTATTTCTCCTGTCTTTTCAGCCCAGAAATTCATAATAAACCTGTCAGCCCGCTGCCACTCAGTGTCACACTGGATCGGCCACACTCCTATCCGACTGCTAATGGGACCCCGCCCCAGGGGACTTTTTTTTTCTGGAAAAAGAAGTAATGATTATTACTATGCTGGGAATATTGTGAATGGTTTTAAACCGCTACTAGTACCTTTCCCAGCTATCGGCCGCGCGCCCTGCGTGCCGAGTTTTGGCCGTGCATCCTGCCGCCGACGGAGGCCGAACTGCGGCCTCCATGTTAACCGCCACGATTTGGCAAAATGCCTGGGAAAGGTACTGGTGATTTTAAGTTTTGAGTTTTGAATAGGCACAGAAAAGCACCAACCCGCATGTCAGTCATGCGGCAACTTTCAAAAGGCAATCACGCTCTTTTGCGGTAAAGACAATGGCAGGCCGTGAAAAACGGTATAAAAAAAAAAGCGAATTTTGTTTTTTTTAGCGCGTTCCACACTGGCTTCGCGACAACACTGCGATTTACAGTTTTTTTTGCCTGTTTGAAATTCAAACCCCTTCGTGGCCGTAGCCCCCCCCCCAAAAAAAAAGGACAGGAAAGTTGTTGAAATGCCCCTAAAAGCTGGGGTATTTTGCTAGATACCCCTAAAATACAGGGGTACGCCGAAATGCCCCAAACTTCTTCATTTGCCCCTGTCCCGATCATCGACACATTTGCCATATGCCCTAGCCCTGGGCTGCAGGGGCGGTGCGTTTCTTATGCCATCTGCAGGGTCCAAGGGACCCAAATACCTGGGCATATAAACAATTTGTCAAGGGGCCGATAGGGGTATATGCAAAAGATGACAGGTCCAATTTGTGAGTGGGGTATTCCGCAAAGGTTCACAACTGTGATAGGGGGCATTTCACCGTTCCTATGCCTTTTAGGGGTATCTGACCAAATACCCCAACTTTCAGGGGCATTTCAACAATTTTCCCAAAAAGAAATCACAGAGTCCGTACACACCCGGGGTACCCCGGTTGCGCGGACAACTGGGTGACCTCCACGGGGGTCTGGCGAGGCACGCACGGTGTCGCACTTTTTCCAGTCGAATTACTTCAGGCGACCGGAATGCCAACAGGCTGTCACACAGGGTTTTGTTGTTGATTGCAATAAATAAAATAAATTAATTAAAGCAAATTCCTTCCTGTTGTGTGCTCCGACTTCGAGCGAGACCCTTCAATTGCGGTCTTCGTCGGTCCCCAGTCTTAGGAATATTTTATTTTAATTCAGGACAACAGAGAATCGTGAAAATAATAGTCATAAATTGTGGAGTGCTATGCATGCATCAATTACGTCAACCTGATTTTGAGAACTGTGACAGAATCATCCACGAAAGCAATCATCGAGCAAGAACAATGCAAGAAGCCAGACCGACTGACTCGAGCAATGACAGAGTCAAATGAATGAGGGAAGAATGAGAACTCATAATAGTCTCAGGAAGTACATATGGAAGAGAGCATGACCAACACCAATCAAGAATCCTCACTCATCCCGCTGAACTTTACACTCATTCTCTCACTTTGCTGTCTGTCGTTTGGGCTTCTTGCCATGTCACCGTACTCTCTGAGGTTGTGACCTCTGAATGTAAAGCCACCTGAAGCCTGCTAGTTCTGAACTCTTTCATCCAAGTCCCATAATACGGAAGTCAACCATAACACAAAACTCCTCCCATAGAGTGGGGAGATATGGCTGAGAGAAGATACCTCGTCTGAGATGCGGGAACTCGGATGACTCAGTCACTGCTTCGTAATCGATCACTGCAGGAGAGATGTACCTCTTG